ATGTTACCAAGCGGTAGCATATATAGATTGAACAGTAGTGGGCCCAACACTGATCCCTGCGGGACACCATATCTTACTTTAGTGGCTATGGATGACTCATTGCAGTAGTCTCGCAATGAGGTTTGACTGAGGAGCCAAAACATTATGAATAGAATACAATAGAACATTCAAGGTCTGGCATAGGAAGTTTGACCCTCTCGTAATTGCCATGTTGAAGACCAGAGTGACTTTGATAAGTGCTAAATTGTTATGGTCAGACTACTGGGTAAGAGCATCTCTGAAACTCCAAAGCTTGTAGGGTGAGAACCTACTGAGAATGGTCTACAGTGATCAACAATGGCGCTGGCATACTGATATATCATTGTACTCACATATCATAATTTGAGCCCTAGGTTTGTGTCGCATTTCAGTCAAAGTTGCCTCTTGGTGCAATGGCAGCGCGTCTGATTCCAGATCAGAAGGTTGCGTGTTCAATTCACGTTGGGGTCAGTGTCTTTCCTTGAGATCAGACGTTTCTGCAGTGCATGTAAAACACGATGGTGCCCAGTATGTTCAGATTGAGAGCTCGTGTTGATGCTTAGTGTCTCGCTGTATTAATTTACTATTTGACAGTTTATAGCAGGGATGTCAAACTCCAGTCCTGGGGGGCCGCAGCCCTGTGTAGCTTAATTCTTTCCCTGTTCCACCACAAATGATTTAGCTCAACAGCTATGTGGTAATTAGCACAAGTAGTTGAATCAGGTGTGTTAAATGAGGGGAAACCCAAAGATGTGCAGGGCTCCGGCCCCCCAGGACTGGAGTCTGACACCTGTGGTTTATAGAAAAACACAATAATTTATAAATGTAAGGGTTTGAAGTTCCAAGGTTTTAGTTGTACGTAGTGATGACTTTCCTGCATGTTGGCTTTCTACATGACAAAAATAAGTTTTTAAATACTTATGTGATTAATTAAGTAAAAAATAAATAAGGTATTTAAAAACTACATATAAATACTAGTCTGTGTATCAACACCATTGAAACTGTTCTTGTTACATTACCTGGTTATCATCAGTCTTGATAATAGGAAATCCTGGCCCCTGATTGGGAATGAGTGTCAGATGATTTGGAAGAGAAATCAATGGTCCACAGATTGGAAGAGATTGGTTTATATTACTATGCCAAAGAAATTAGACCTGAAGGAATGTGTGGACTAATGTACAATTTTCCTCATATCACATGCAGTAAGATTAGATGTGGACAGAGAATGGAAAGTTCTAGACTCTAGAGCAATGCTGCCCATATGACTGGCTTGAGTTAACATTGATTTGATGCCATCTAACGATGATCAGAACATCTGCATGCAGTGGATCCTTGGTGGAGAAAAAAATGTTAATCTGAAATAAAAAACAGCAGTGACAGAAAGCAGGATTATTTTTTCACTCCAAAATCAAGGTTGTGGAAAATTAGAGATCTTTAGTTTTTTTTATTGCCTTGGATTGTGTCTCAAAGGTAGGTAACTTCTGTCGCGTTACGTCCCACTTGCTGTAGAGGCATCTCTGCAACTGAATGTCAACCTCAAAATGATACGCTTTAAAAGTGTCCATTATGCTGTCAAGGCACTGTTATAGAAAAGAAAGAGGAGCATCTTAGGGAATTCTAGAGGCATCCAGAAGCTAAAATTAGATTATTATTTATTTTCTATAACAGAGGACAAGTAAAATCCCAACGTTAATGCAACATTTAATATGTTTAAATATATATACACACATGTGCACGCACACACACACACACATATATATATTTATATATATATATATTTATATATATATATATATTTGTCATTATCAGGCTACATATGCAAAAATTCTGTCGTATATGGTATATGTCCATATAACATACTATTTTATAATCATATTTAAATCAAAGGTCTTACCAAAAATGTGTTATGTGCTATGGGGAGACCTGTCTGTCCCAATGACATTGTTCATCATGACTTCATGGAACAAAACAGAGGCAGGATTGAACCCCCACCACAGCGGTGCAGAGTAACACTAAGTCACCACATCAGCTTAACAGAGTTATTATTGCAGACTAACTACAGCTAACAATAACTTAATGGAATAAACTTGCATTAAAAACTGGACCTTGTATAACTGCATTGAACTGAGCATTAAAGCCGAGAGTTAATGGCTGGCTTTTGGTTAAATGCTGCAAAGAACCATGCAGTCAGTCAACTGGTGTGATTCAGTGGTCAAGCAGCTTATCAGATAAGTTCCAGACGGGACCATCCGCCATACTGGGCATTTTCCAGATGGGTTTGTGATCCAGCCATATTTATTGTGGGACCACCCCCCCCACTCAGTATAATTTAAGGGGGGACCCTAAAGTCCACGATTTTTAATCCCAGTCCAGCCCAGCTTCCAGGCACTTAGTCTAAGTGACTCGAAATATGGACAGAGAAGCATTTACAGAGTCCGAGATCAAACACTCAAGGTCATTTTAGAGCCCTGGAGACGAAGTTGATATGGACAGTTCTCAACCGTCTGCGCTGTGGATGAATTCCATTCATAACACCGTCGTCTTGACGACTGACTTTCATTTACGGCAGCGCCGATTCCGCAGAGGAGCCTTTTCCTGGCCCGTATCCGAACGTAGCCGCCGGGACGCGGTTTGGTGGCCGAGGTCCACACATGGAGCGAGTCAAGGATTCACACGAGCCAGCGAAATGCAAGCCTGACATGACACGGCTCGCCGAGAAAGAGGAGGCCAGAGAGGAGAAAGAAGGACGGTCTTGGGGCTCTTTGCAGCTCGGCTTGTGCTGTCTGACGTCGGAGTGCGAGCTGGTCCGGGTGCGGTGCTCATCCGGGGCTGCAGAGGCCTGACCTTTAAAAGACACTATAAACTGCCGACCTTCTGCCCTGATTTTGGCCGTCTTGACCGCCTCGTGTGATCAGCATTACACGCATTTTTCGCAGCCGACTCGTCCTGTGCCTGCTCCTTCGGAAAGGATTCCTTCAAGAATAGTATGTGGTCAGTTGCCACAATGGTAGTTATTCTATGGAATGAGATACAGTTCCAGTGAAACTGTTCAATGAGATATTTTCCCTTTTGAAGTCACTTTCATGCTTAACTGAATGGGTCGAAATCCATCGGCACATAATGTGCTGTTATATGATATATAACCATCGATATTTTTTATAATGGATTTATGTGACATCACGAAATATGAAACCTATATGAAAACTGAAGTTGTTTTTTTTTCGGACTTTTCAACAAAAAAAATAAACAGCTTCACAGAAGAAACTTGACAACTAATTGAGCAGTCACAGAAGCTCGATCCTTTCTAGTGAATTCCACAGAGACGTTTCAGGCTGATGGAATGTAACCAACCAGCAGGATTCCTTGTGGCTCCTGCTATTATCAGTATTTTCGGTTGCCCTATTAATACGTCCCCACATTTATGTGTTCAGGGACATACTGAACCAATTATGGGGATTGGTGAATCTTCTCCAATTCCCTAACAATCCACATAAAGCCAAATTATGGGAAAGGATATGAATGTTTTTGTCACAGGCTGCTCACTGATTACCAGCTGCACCAAAAATTAAGTCCTCTTTAGGGAGAATCTGAGATGCACTTTGCTCCAAACTGCGTCTTTGTCAGACGGTCCTGTTTATCCACCTTTAATCTCTTGTTTTCAGTGGCACATTTGCTGCATGGGGCAAATAGATTACCCTGCTCTCTCCTAGAAGCAGGAAGTCAAACGGTTTTCTTAGTGAGTGAAATTGACCTTGTCAGGGACAGATGAGATGATTCCAGCTCTCGAGGTGCTTGGAGTATTCCTCTGGGCATTTTTTTTGGAATGACACTCTTCAAACTTGAAGCATATTACTGGAAAGTCACTTCGTGCTGCTTTTTATTGCTGTCATGTGACCGACACCAAAAGGTCAGAGGTCGTTGTTATTCCAGGGCACTGGGGAGGGTCGTGATGGTGCCACGTTCTTCTTTAAGCTTTCTTGATAGCCTGCCAGTGGTTTGTAAACCCAGGGGTCTGGTTTGAGAGAATGCCATTCTCTGAGTAATAACCTAGCAGAGAATGTGACCGGGACTTGATTTTTGCCTGATGGTATTCCACTGCTATTCCGAAAGCAGATGGTTGGCAGCTCATTCCAGAAAGTCTTCCATGGGCTGTGTAAGGAATATGCAAGTAGTTTCCAGAAAAATAAAATTTAAATGGATCTCACTACTCTACCAGCAAATCGTCTTATATTTAAATTGTAAAATAAGTACCACCCAGACCTAGTTCTGTTCTGAAGAAGGCCGATGTGAAGTGTCTGTGTGCAGTGGAAATGCTATTCATTTTGTGTTAATCAGTTAATCACTTTTGGAAATGAAATGAATATTCGCTGTATGTTGTCCTCTTGATCCTAGTGGAGAATAAGCTAGGATGCGCTCTTTTTAAATTTGTTAGTGTTCAAGTGTTGTATAAAATATGCATTTGTTTGTATGAAATGTCAACATGACTGAAGTGGATACATACTCAGCATGTTGCGCTGTTTAGCAGAGGCTGTTTATTCAGACTGACTCCTGTTTTCATGCCATCGGTAACAGGATATTTTACCAGAGAACTTCAGCTTAGAGGATTTGTTCAAGTACACTACAGGCAGTTTGTAGTACACACTAAGCACACTGCAAACTCAGGAATTGTCCCTACAACCTGAGAGGTGTGAGGGCAATACAGTTGACGCTCACCAAAGTGTTTTAGAATCATAAAAGGTGCAAAAGTTCATTGATTAAAAGCAGTGGTTCTTCATTTGTGTCCAATTAGTGTATTACAGTCAGGGGCTGATAAATGAACAGGCGTACCTAGGCTGCAGCCGTCTGTTTTTTTTTTTTTTCTTTACAATTCTTTAAAGTGATCCTTTATTGGTCATTCATCTGTTTGCAAGTTGGTGATTGGTTAAAACTGAACGACGAGATCAATTCTAAATGTATCTTTTCTGGTATGTATAGTCTGTTTCTTACATAAAATGGATTTTACACACATGATCAGTGAGTTTTAGGACAGGAAAGCACAGAGGAAAATATTAAGAACTTGTTTTATATTCTTTTGGAATTTGGTAAATGTGCACATTGTGGATGCACTTGGCACATTCTGGGTCAGAGTGTAATGTGTTACGGTTACTGCTGTTCAGATGTATTATTGAATGAGGTCTCTGTGCTCTTTCTTATTGCTGCATGTGACTGACAAGAAAGTGTAAGTTGCCCGTTTGTTGTTCTTCTGATGCGATTGCTCTCTTTTGATACAGCGTCACATTCTCTTTGACTTTCTTGAAATGATTTTATATTTACTAGTATTTAATAATTTTATAGTTAATTGTATTGAATTTGGTGATCAGTGGTCATTATTGACACAACACAGCACACAGTGCACAACAACGAAATGTGTCCTCTGCCTTTAAACCCATATGTGACATCATGACATAGCAGGGGGCAGCTAACTCAGCGCCCGGGGAGCAGTGCTTGGGGGCGGTACCTTGCTCAGGGTACCTCAGTGTTATCTTGCTGGTCGGGGATTCGAACCTGCAATCTTTTAATTACAAGGGCACTTCCCAAAGCCTTAAGGCACCACTGCTCTCCCTTATTATTGCCCTTATTTAGGGAGTGGGGGCAGAAGAGGGGCCCCCCGGAAAGTGTAGCCTAGGGGCCCCTGAACTCTTAATCCATCACTGACTGCAGCAACTCTAGCAAACCATTAGTGTTCATTAGTGTGCCCTGTCCTGACTCCTACGCATTGATTACACCTGTAACACGAGTGCAATCCGGAGCACAGCTGTAGCATAGGGTCTGGCCACGGGCAGATTGAGAATCATGGGCCCCTGTCCACAAGACTTTTGAGGCCCCTAGCTAACTAAAAAGGCCTTGGGGCCCCAGAAACCACAGCTGGCCAAAACTGGTGTAGTATCCATGACAACCCTGGGCTTTAATAAGTAACTAGCACTGCCATAGCTACCGGGTGACTTAATACACAAATGCCTTCACAACTTGGGGAACGTGGACCCAAGCCGTAACCCACCCATGGGTCTGGCGTGGAGATTGTTACAGCTTTGCTGTTTTATCATTGCAGACAAGTTAAACAGATGAAAAAGAGAGCCGCAAAGCCCAAGGCTGCTGCTTCCTCATCATCCAGGTACATTCTAAGGGGGGCGGCTGTGGCTGCCGTCTCCTTAGACGAAGTGCGAGAGCATGTTTGTGCTGGGGGGGGGGGGCATGTGCTGGCTTTATCTCCCTGCTGCAGATCATTCTGTTCACTGTCTATAGTGATATCATCTGTATGCCAAAACTAACAACAATCACAGTAACTGCAATGATACTGACGATGATAATGGCATGCAAATCATGATTGCAATTTTACATTATTGAAATAACATTTGGAGGGCAAGTCTCTAAAACTCACTCAGTGCATGGGATGCATTTTTGATACAATTTCTTTGGACTCGTGAGTGAATTTTGGAAGTTTCACAAAAATACCATATGACGAGGAAGCCTGACTTTGGGCTCATCTCAACAGCGGCAAAAAGTGGGCCGAGTTTTGGAAATTTGCTCTTCATTTATCAATGTCTGACTAACAGATGTATAATTCCGTGAACCTTAAATAAACGTCATAGTCTCCATGATAGCTGTTATCCTCAAAGCCCGCAGGCAAGATAAGTCACTTAGGCACCAAGCACGTGCCTGTTGGATCACTTCCTGGCCTCTTTCCAACTCTGCACATGTGGAGTCAGTGACCTTCACAAGATGGAGTGTTTTTCCATCTTTCAGATCATTTTTAATATTTGTTAAGTTAAGCTGTCTTATCAAAGGGCACAAAATAAATCATATTGCATTGCTACCTACATCCAGTGATGCTCTGAGTGAATATTAAAGTCTGTATACTGATATAACCCTCATGATTATTTTTAATTATGTAGTTCCACAACTTAAGTTTGCGTTTTATAGAGTCACTGTGACTCTGATCACTTTTACATTCATTGTGACTTTCAATCTTGCAGTGTGGGCTTTGATTGGTGAGACATCATTGGATTAATTGTGTAATATTGCTTGCAAATGCAGTTTAAATTTATTTGAAATGGTCATATAAATATACGATCAGTCGCTTCTTTTAGAAACCAGGGCTCATAATGACTGTTCACTTTGCAGGGCTACTTTGAAAGTTAAATCTCATTCTAAAGCGAGCAACCCCAGGCCTCAGAAAAGGTCAGCTTTGTTTTCCGATTCGCTCCATTGTCCTTGTTCTGACCTTAGCTATCTCCATTCTTCGTGAGTCTTGTCCCTGTTTGTAGATGTTCATACCCAAAAGCTTGTTGCTGTGTGTTTGGTTACCACTTGCAAATAAATACTGCTGTCTGTTATCATTTCATGCATGATCCTGTCATTTTGTAAGATTATTCATTTATTTTCTAACTGCTTACTCATGTAAAATATAGTTTCTAATAATTTATGATTTTCTTTCTATGTATTAGTATTTATGTGTTTTTCTTTATTGGTTAAAAACATACTGATTTCAGAAAGGGGCGTTCCATGATTAATTATTCAAAGTGTAAATTCACAGGTGTTTGACATCTTTTTGCGTTAGCGCTTCCATAAACTCTGTGTATCTCACATATTTTTTGCGTAACTCCAGATTTACTTAAGTCTGATTTGCATAAGTTGAGAGCTGCCTGCATACAGCTTTTTATTCTATTCATCTGTTGTTTGTTCATGAACATAAACCCAGCATCCTGCTTAGATGCTTGATGCGCAGTCATCCATCACTGCATGCTCGCTGTGAGTTTGACCCCGTCCCCATCACCTTGGCCCCGCCCCCATCCCCTTGGCCCCGCCTCCAGGCACACAAATGGCTTCCGCATCCACTCTGTCGCCTGCACGGGGAACGAGGTGCACCTGTCTGTCTGCCCCCTGGAAATCGCCAAGCGCAACAGCAGTGCCCCCTGTACCGGCGGAATGCCGGCTGTGGTCAGCTGCATGCCAGGACCCCTGTTCTCACAGGTCAATGGCCAGAAGAAGAAGACCAAGACTGTGGTAGGGTGACATTATGCTAAGGAGCTATATGGACCCTTTCTGCTTCCTTTGAAAGCTGTGCTGTGACATATGGTTCTGTGACTATTCATACTCTGCATCCGGTCATCTCACCTTTATTTACATGTCCAGTCAAAAGTCTGTACACACCAACCTTAAATGTACTTTTACAGTTAAAGGCCTCATTACAACGACCAATAGAAGTGTTCAATATCTCAAAATATTCTTAAAAGTTAGACACTTCGAAACAGCCCCCTTTGCTTAGATGACAGCATTGCAGACTCTTGGCATTCTTTCAGCCAGCTTCCAGATGTAGCCACCTGGAATGCTTCTCCATCAGTCCTGAAGTTGGCTACCTTGCTCTTACTCTTTGATCCAACTCATCCCAACCCAGCTGTATATATAAGGGTTCAGGTCAGAGAATCATGGGGGTCAGGTCATCTGTCACAGAACTCCATCTCTTTGCTGTTTCATAAGATACTTACTGCATAACCTCTAGGGTCGGTATCTTGCTGAAAAACAAGTGATTTTCAGGTGTGTTTAGACTCTTGACTGATGCTATACTTGCTTATTTATTGAATTTCTATCTCTATCTTTATTTTTATTCTATTTATTCTTTTTTACACTTTTGTCTTGATTATGGCTTCATTTGTATGCTATATCTCACCATCTCCATCAAAACAAATCCCTTGTACTTTTTGAACTAGTACTGATTTCGATTCTGAAGATGCATTTTCAAACCGAACCTTTCTGTGTACTGTGCTGTCGCCCCCCCCCCCCCCCCCAGACCAAAGTGAGGCTGAAGGGGGGTGCTAAGATTGGGGAGGGCCGCGTGGAGGTGCTGAAGAACAGGGAGTGGGGGACAGTGTGCGACGACCGCTGGAATCTGCAGGCGGCCAGCGTGGTGTGCAGAGACCTGGGCTTCGGCAGCGCCAGGGAGGCCCTGACGGGGGCGCGCTTGGGCCAGGGTGAGGAGGAGTGCCGCGGGTCAGACACACGTTCAGCCCGCCGTTATCGCAATGTGCTAACTCAATTAGCTACCCCGACGGATAGCAACAGTGCAGAAGCGTTACCTAGGAAACAACACCCCCCCCCCCGTAGGCACCAAACTTAAACTGCAACGCAGAACTCATGCAGCTGCAGTTGGCATGTCGGAGCATGTGCGCAGAGGTCAGCGGGTCAGCAATGTGGGGAGAGCACGGTGGTGTCAGATCTTGTCTGTGAACTCCCAGCATGCATCATTCCCGGTAGCGCCCCTGACCAGACAAAGAGACACTCAGGAGAGAACAGTCTGACGTATAAGGAACTATGTAAGTTTCAGCTAGTTCCTGGGAAAACTGGGAGGCTTGCACAGGAGCCCAAGGGTGACATCACTCTGCCAGTCACGGTTTTGAACTTGTGATCTTCTAATCACCAGTACATGCCATGCAGACCTGAAGTTCTCAGTAGGCATTGTATGAAAATTGCATATAATATAATTTGGATGCTATTAATCCAAATTACAATAAAAACAATATAAAAAAAACAATTTGTGAGAGACTTCTTAGATGTCTGAAAAATAAATCTTAGATGCCTGAAAGACAGAAAAATCTCCCCCAGCCTGGTCCCACCCCCACTCCATGGCTGGTGGGGTCATTTGAGTCTTCAAAAATGGAAAACACAGAAAAATAGCTGCGATCCTCCCACCTCACCCCCTTCAGATGGAAAAACAACCACGGCCTCTGTATTTTATAGTTTTTTCACATCTGTGTCACAGAAAGGGCAATAAAGAATATTATTCCGGAAAAGAGAATAATTTAAAAATGAAATATCATTATTATGAATAATAAACATCTTTCATGTATTAAGCACAGCGTTTTCAAAAATTATGACTATCATAAGTATCTTAAATGTACAAGTATCAGATTCTGAACACTTCAGTGGGATGGACCTCATTGTCCCAGAACGACCAAAAACAGAAGTTAAATAAAAGACCCTTTACAGTCATGGCTGTGTTTTGGGGGAGAGGGAGAACCTTAGGGGTCTTTGATCATGTGAGGGAAGCACGGATTAACTTTGTGAACGTCTTGCTGTTGTCCAGAAGGCATCACGTGGTCCACAGGAACATCAGCACATCTCTGCTGACTGAGAGAAGACTTTAACTGTGGGCTGTAGACAAATATGGAGAGCACTTCTGAAATCGCCTTAAATGTTTTTTGGAAATACGCAATATACAGTTTATCAAGTGATAGAATGACATGCTATCTAGGATACATCCCAGCCTTGTGCTATATGGTGCATGGAATGGATGGATGGATGGATGGATATATTATTTTATTTTAGTATTTTCAGTCTAATTCCAGCTCTAAAAATTACAAATGCACAAAGATAACTGGATTTCATGATAAATTTTAAATGCCAGGTACCAAGACCTATATGTTATACTGTTGAATTCTGCTGGATGGGTTACACAGAGCTCACAGAAAGTCTTGGGTTGCAAAATAATGTTGCAAATTTAATGGTTTCATAACAAAAGTCCATTGACAATGTAAAATTTATCTCAACGTATCTTCCAGACATTTTCTTTTTACTATTGTAGTCATTGGCTCCCAATGGGATACTAAACAAAAATGTTTGGTGTTTTATCTTATTGCAAAAGTGTTTCTAATTAAAAACGCCCAATGAGACGGCTGGTCAATTACTTTTTAAAATCAGAACAGCTCTTTTAGAGCTATAACCTCGTTTCATTTATTAATATTTGAAATTAATGTTTTACTTTAAAACTAAACTACTTTTTTGTAAATGAATGAAATAATGGTTTTTGTCATAAAACCAATAAATTTGTACAATTTGTACGGAATTAAGCAAGAGTCCCACGACTTTTAGTGAGCACTCTATATGAGAATAGTAGGGTCCGATTTATGATACGGCTGCAGTGTGACATGTTGAGATCCTTCCTCCGGTTCCGTCCGCAGGGATCGGCCCCATTCACATGAACGAGGTCATGTGCACTGGTACCGAGAAGTCCATCTGGAACTGCCCCTTCAAAAACATCACGTCAGAGAACTGCAAGCACGCCGAAGATGCGTCCGTCAGGTGCAACGTGCCCTACATGGCCTACGAGGAAACGGTTAGACGGTGCTCGCCTGATCCGATCCCATCTACTAAGTGTTGAGGTGTTTTACATATAGACGCTCCCTGGGTTACGATGGTCTGTGTTACGACATTTTGATTTTACGATGAGTAAATGCTTTTCACTTTCAGTACATTATTCAATAAATTACATGAGATATTCAACATTTTATTATGAAATAGGCTTGGTGTTAATGATTTTGCCGAACTCTAGGCTAATGTAAGTGTTCTAAGCATATTTAAGGTAGGCTAGGCTACGCTATGATGTTTGTTAGGTTAGGTGTGCTGTATCAAAATGTGTTTTCCACTTACGATATCTTTGCCCGTGAATGGATGTTTTTACTCATCACACTGGTCTCTGTAAGCTCTAGACACTGTAGTGTGTGAAAATTCTAGGAAGGTGACTTTATGGAACCACCTACTTACTAAGTATAATAGTAGTTAATAATACTTAATAAACTGGCCCCTGAGTATAGATACATTAGTGTCTGATGCACCATCAGATCATAGTCTATACTTTTTACAAGGTTGCCCCGCTATTCATACTGCATACGGGGCCTTTTGAGTGCAGATTTAGCATTTGCAATTCAGTGCTATTTTTACTATTGTAAGTTGACAATCGTTTTGTTGATTAATGTTAGTCAAGCTGAGTGTCAGTGTTTTGAACAAACTACAAAATCAAAGCATTCCATTTAATTTTTGTGAATTTGACCCTGGGTACTTTGAAATCTGTCCTGAGACTGTAACATTTCATTTTTGGTGCCCGTGAGCATGACACTAATGTTAGTTTCTTAGCAACTCTAGCAGTTTTTTTTAACCCGTAACATTTATCTGATACTACTGACTTAGAGTACTGACATGTATGATATTTATAACACAAAAGTACAAAAGCTATTGGATATGAATGTGTAGTAAAACCTGCTCATATCTCCAGGCCAATGAGCTAATTTGCAGCAGGGGTGAGATGTCGTGCTGTTCTGAGATGACCTTCTCTGCGGATCACCATTAACAGAGATTTTGTTCGATGTGATCGGCACCAGCACTCTGTTTACCTCACTGTGTTTAGCATCAGCTGCATTTTGAGGTTTTTTTTAAGGTGGGGGATAAGAGGGGTCATATGTCATACATAGGGGCCAACCATATCACTAGCCAATGATATGTTTTGAATCAATGAGTGACAGCGGAGGGGCACTCCGGGGACCAATCAGCTTTCAGCTATGCCCACATCCCTGTGGCCCCGCCCCTGTATACTCTTTTTTACAGAATGCTGGTACTCATCCATCTGCAAGTCTCTGCTGGTTTAAGCCTTGCTTTGCCTGTAACCCACGCACTAACCTCCTGCCCCGGCACAGATGCGACTCACAGGGGGGAGGACTCGCTTGGAGGGGCGCGTGGAGGTGCTGGCGACAGACAGGAATGGGACGGAGGGCTGGGGGCTGGTCTGTGGAGAGGGCTGGAGCACCCGGGAGGCCATGGTGGTGTGTCGGCAGCTGGGCCTGGGCTACGCTAAGAGCGGCCTGCCAGTAGGTGGCGCCACACTCGCTTATCTCACCCTGTGATGTCGCTGGGGGGGGGTTAACAGTTCAGCTAACACTCTGATCAGAACCAGCAATCAGTGCCAACTGACACCCATCGATGGGATGGTGGTGGTGTCATTTTTCCGCGGGAAACATTTGTCTCGACCCCAGCTGTCCTTGAGACAAATGGCTTTCTTGGTGCTAAGGTTGAGGTGTCAGGAAGACTGATTGCTCGAAACTCATCTGCCGCAACACCCTTTGTAGCACGTAACCCCAGACAACGTAACAGATCCCTCAAAGACCCAGGTGAAACTCCTGAAACAGGTGCCGTGGCCACTCGCAATCAATCGAGCAAGAGAGAGCGCCCCCTACAGGGCTCAGAAGGCGGGTGGGCTGGTCCTTGCATGCTAACACCTGTTAGGGCCTCTCCGCAGATCCGGATTGTTGGCGGACGCACCAACTACGAGGGTCGGGTGGAGGTTAAGGTGGGGTCCAGGTGGGGCACTGTGTGCAGTGAAGGATGGACCACGAAGGAGGCCATGGTGGCTTGTCGTCAGCTAGGGCTGGGGTACTCCCTGCATGCCATCACAGTGAGTAAGGCCGGGGGTGACAGGCTGTCCAGTGCACTGCGCGTCCAACCACTGCGTCCCTGTAGCCAGGCAACAGCGATGGTCGTACCAATGGGTTAGCATGCGAATGCGTCCATGTTCACAAATGCAGATGTGCGATTAGAAGATTTAAATGTAGAATAATAGTGCTTGGGAATGACCAGTAATAACATACAAGAAAATGTATATAGGTAGTCCTTATGAATAACAAACAAGTTACGAACGAGATCCATTCCCCAAGTCTGTCATTAAGTCACGTTTGCAGGCAAGTCAATAGTAGTACAGTACACAATAACGATAATTATGCAGTAATAATAAAAGTAACTACGTATAGTACTGTACTGTACCGCAAGCCAATAAAGCGCTGAAGCTGCGTAATGTTTTCTCGAGCATAACAAAGTAGTGCGTCCGTGCGTTATTATGAACCATCGTATTTAACCCAGATTTTTAATATAATATGAGTTGTCTGTATGTCAGATGTTCTTAACCCAGGGATTACCTCTATAGGAAATGTTTCATTTAACTCATTTCAATTATTTAAATCTTATAAATTGCTTAATACTTCTTTTCATTTGCCCATCTGAGCACAATTCCATTAGTTATTCTGTATTTTATTGATTCTATGTTAATTGTTATGTTTATGGTAGCATTTAATTATATATTCCTGTAATATTTTTTCATCTCTCGGTTCCAACTCAATCAATTTTTTTCACAGTTATGGGGCAGATAAAGTGTCAATGAATAAAGTATTTTCACCTAAATAATTGTTGCATATGACAGTTACTCAAAATTACAGCTGTGTTCTAAAACTGGGAAAATGGGACTAAAGTTACCACAAATAAAAGAGAACAAATGAATGATGTAAATGTGAAGGTCACGTTTTGGTTTAGATTTCACCATTCAACTTAATACGAGATTTCCTGAGCCTGTGTAATGTAAACTTATCTTTGATGTTTTGATGATTTATTTAACCATATTTATATAATTTATTTTGTTACATTGTTGTTTAAGCGTATTATGATAGAGCGGAAGCACATCGGAACTTGTCACTTTTCACGTGTGACATTCTCCTCCCTGACTGCCTGCGTCTGTGCCTGTCGCCAAGGAAACGTGGTACTGGGAGAGCAGTAACATGACGGACATGGTTCTGAGTGGGGTGAAGTGCACCGGTGAGGAGATGTCACTCAGTCACTGCCAGCACCACGCCACGGTCACCTGCCAGAAGGCCGCGTCGCGCTTCTCCGCCGGTGTCATCTGCTCCGAGAGTGAGTGACCTCTAACCGATGCCTCCAGGATGAGGAAATTCATCGTCATGCTTGTTGCCGCAGCTTTTTCTCCAGTTCGACAGAAAACTATGAAAGCCGGCTGACAAAATCATGTACAAATCTCATACATTCTAAGTTTCTCATACTTTCTGAGTTTGTCGTCTGAGTATCCCTCTAGTTCTGGAAAAGTGAAAACAAACTAATTGCATACTGATGCAGGATAAAATCCAAAGTTCTTGTGAAATAGCTTATAATAAAAAATGAAGAGTTGCCTTTGGGGTGGCATAATGGTGCAGTGTATAGCACTGGTGCCTTGTACCTCTGGGGTCTGGGGTCTGGGGTCTGGGCCCACATTCCATGTGTGTGTTTTGCATGTTCTCCCTGTGTCGTTGTGGGGTTTCTTCTGGGTATTCTAGTTCCTCCACTAAATTGCCCGTTTGTGAATATGAATGGTGTACCATCCAATGGGTTGTTCCCTGCCTTGTGCCCGTAACCACTGCAATAGGCTGACCCTGAATAGGATAAGAGGTTACAGAAGATGGATGGATGTATGTATGGATGGAATTACTTTTGGAAACAAAGCATGAACTTGAACCCCTTAGATATAGTAACTGAAATACCCCCTTTCCCGTGTTCTAGCGTCGTCTGACCTGGTGCTGAATGCCCCGCTGGTCGAACAGACGGCCTACATCGAGGACCGGCCCCTGCACATGCTCTACTGTGCCGCCGAGGAGAACTGCCTTTCCAAGTCAGCCGCCAGGGCCAACTGGCCCTATGGGCATCGGCGGCTGCTCCGCTTCTCCTCCGAGATCCACAACATCGGCCGTGCCGACTTCCGCCCCAAGGCCGGCCGTCACTCCTGGGTGTGGCACGAGTGCCATAGGTAAACGCCAGCCCCCGCTGTGGCTTGCCAGCATGCCCTAGCCATTCCTGTCCCATTCTGGTGAGGCCTGGAGTAACTCTGCAGCATGACTTCCTCGTTGCATGGTTGGGCCGGTCGCAGCCGTGTAACTGCACTTGTGCACGCTCATGTTCTCCCTTGGACTGCGGTGCTGCATGTTTCTGTACCTCAGGGTGTCCTTCGGATGCTGAATGTGCACTTTGGTTGCACTTTTACTTCTGCATGTTTTTGTTGATGCGATTTTTCCCAATTAAATTCTATTTAATCTCACAAGTGCACTTAAGAAGAATCTCTGACTGGGTCTTTGTGACTCATCTGCTGTGAGAAATGATAATCAGTTTGCAATGTGAGAAAGTTATCTTTAGGCATCTGGACGTAGATCATATCTTATATAAGACTAGCAAATCCTTTTGTGTGTTGTTAAAATGTAGGAGAGATTTCTTGGCTGCTTTCAGTCTGTTTTGTTTCTGAAATACAATTTTCCGGTCTAAGGTCAAAGTTCAGATTCCTTCTTAGTGTTAAGCTGCAGGAGATTCGCTGAATTTGAGGAAATTTACTGCAATGGTTGGTGCCGCCTTTGTGTAGTGCTGACCGTGTCATCAATGAAACCAACAGATAATCCTGGGATTATTTAAAGAAGGCTTTAAATTGACTTTAAGACATGTTGAAACCTTAAAATTATGTTTTAGAAGGTGGTTGCCATGGCAATGTAAATATGATTATCGTCGCTGTCCATTGAAAAACTCCAAAAAGCCATTATTCAAGAAGCATAAAAAAAGGTATTTTCTCAGAAACTACTTTAGAAATTAAACCTAAAATGAGACACTATTAGTGTCACAAAGAGAATCTTTACACAGCCAACAGTGAATGGTTTAATTTTTTAAAATTGGCTTATGTGCATTGTTGTCAGTGTGGCAAATATGCCAGTGTCAATAACATACAAACTCACTTTATATTCACAATTAACAATAGTGTTAGTTAACTGTCAACGTTCAGTTGTTAATATTAACGATATAAAGTAATCAATAGAAACATCATATTGAATACAAATGCCAACTAGCATAAACATAAATATTAATTACTACACAGATGACTTCAAAAACATATTTTCATTGGTCAATTAGCTTTCAAATGCTATCAGTAAACAGAGAATGGTTGTATTTCATCTATGGTAAAAAGTCAGAATCTTCAAAAAAAAAGTGGACATACGTGGTTCGGATAGCGACGTTTCATACGTTATAAATATGTTTCTTTTACTTGGCCTGGATTAAATGGAAGTAATGGTATCAGTATACTTAATTATGTAAGAATTGGGTTGTTTTTGAAGTCACTGCTGTGGAGTTGCCTTTTCGGGGCTGATGCATCCAGCTACGACATACACATCACATCACATCACATCTCTCCAACAGGAATGTGATGTGGGCAGTGTGTATTCACTGTGGGACAGATCTGGGTTTTACCATCAGCCATAGCGGGGACCGGTGCTTGCTCCATGGGCTCTGACATCATCCTGATGACCCTTTGCTGTAGTGCTGGATTAATAATAAAATTTAATCATATTTAGAGCAAACACCTGTCAAGAAAAGGGAAAAGTCAAAATAGCCAAACCTTACACGGATGCATAGTTCGGCAAATAGAGCTTTAGAGTCTTTTTGATTTAGAATATTTAGTTTAATGATGGATCAATTTAAGAAGTTGAATCATTGTATTTATGCATTTATATAAGCACAGTAGCTACACACTGAGATGTTATATTGTAGCTGTTATTTCGCAAAGTCCTGGGCTGGTTTTCCACACTGAGGATGTTGAGTCAGCTGGGGGCCCCTGTGTTCTGTGAAAGACTTTACATTGTTTCCCCTGCCTCCCCCAGGCATTACCACAGTATGGACATCTTCACTCACTATGACCTTTTCTCAGCCAACGGCACCAGGGTGGCGGACGGCCACAAGGCCAGCTTCTGCCTGGAGGACACTGAATGCCAGGAAGGTACAAACCTGCACTTGCCGGCTTTGAGAGCAGAACCAGCACTGATTCTATCTCAGGACATATCGCTCATATGATGGGATATCTCACATGGCATATTTTTCAACATTTTTTTTTTGTGTCGGTGTTTTATCTTGCTTTTGAAATTCACATTTAAACAGGAACACCTTTCACTTCAATTCCACTTAAAGCTTCAGTTTGATTGCCATAACAAAACAATTCAAACCAGAGCTTCCAGAAGTGCTTCTTTCTCCTCCAAACTCAAGCATAATTCCCTAGCAGCCCTTAGTCAGTCTATTCACACAGGTTCATAAATCCTTAGACGTTAACTTCCGTTGACCTTTGCCTAACCTTCAGGCAAACGTGTTAATGGAAGAATGTGTTTTTTGTTATATAGTAGCAAAGTAACACCTTGAATTTACACGTTTCCAGGACAGAAATTGCACATATTGATGTCTGGATACAACTTTTCAGTACTGTAACTTTAATTTCAATGTCTAATATTTGCGTAATGACTGAAATATGTGTCCCAGGAATCGCAAAGCGTTACGAGTGCGCTAACTTTGGCGAGCAGGGCATAACTGTGGGCTGTTGGGACTTGTACCGTCATGACATTGACTGTCAATGGATCGACATCACAGACGTAAAGCCAGGCAATTACATACTGCAGGTAACCACCGGTAGTCCAGTGAGAACATTAAATTAGATCAATAACGAGGTTTAAACTTCTTCCAGACTGTAAAATTCCTCATTATCCTGTGCATCTATTTGAAAAGACCTTTAAATACAAAATGAACAACAATCTATCCCTTTCCTCATTGTGTATCATTACAGCTTGTAATAAATCCTAACTTCGAAGTGTCCGAGAGCGATTTCACCAACAACGCCATGAAGTGTAATTGTAAATATGATGGGCATCGGATTTGGCTGCACAAATGTCACCTCTGTACGTAACTCCTCACGTTTCTTAACACCCTGACTATGAATTGCAGTGGAAAAAAAATGCTTGAACTGAAACCTTTAATACGCATATACAGAAATGTTCCACAAGGTGGAGCTATATTTCCATTAGTCCTTTAATTAGGAGGTCTTTGTTATTGCACTTTATTCTTGTTTGTTGTTCACAAGCTATAAACAAAACTTGATATTCTTTCTTTCAGATGATGCATTCAGTGAAGAAGCAGAGAAGAAATTTGAACAGTACCCTGGGCAACTGAATAATCAAATTTCATAACTTAGCCACACCTCCAAGTAGAACATGAAGGTGGTAGTGGGTATTTTCACTGGGTTTCTGTTGCCCGTATAGCCATTTTATTTCCATCTCAAAGAAAATGCCCAGTTGAACATAAACAAAACAGCTCTGATAAGAGTTGGGTGGTGCTGAATGTCCATTTTTTGTAATTTTGAGATATTTCCCTTTATCAGGGATGGTGCAGCTTATTTACAGCAAATGCATGAGATGTAAGTAGTGTTATTCATCTATTTTTACAAAAAGCTACCCTGTATTGCCATGAAAGCTATAGGTCCTTGTTTTGAAAAAATATTTTAGGAATTAAATTGTAAATGAAATGTACAAAGACTAAACATTTTATATTTTTGATTAGTTCATCAGGATTCTTTTTAAACCAGTTAGCCATCCAGAGCCACTGACATCCATGACATAACACGTCATCACCAAATGACCAGACCTCTATTGTGTTTAGAATAAAAAATACTGATCTTACAAAAATGTTCACTTGCATGTCTCAAAATAAATTGTAATTAAAACCATAGAACATTTGTTTTTGGTGGATCCACCCCCAACAATATACTAGCGAATAAAACCTGCCCAAAACAAAGTCCTCCATAAAATGTGACGTTTTGGCCCCAGGTCTGTAGTCCACCTATAATACTGCAGTGCTACACAAAGGAGAGGGAAAAAAAAAAGTTCAAATGGAACATTGTAAAGTGCAAACAGAACCATGAAAGAAAAATAAAACAGGAAAAAATGTTACATGTGCCTATAACAAAACAGGCCATTGTATCCCACTACTAAAGCTTCTTTTGGCTCTGCTTTGCTGCGATCAAGCCTTTAATACTCTTGGGCCACACCTGCTGTGATCCACAGATAAAGTACGGAAATGCAGGGATCAGCATCCTGAAAGCCTGTCTGAGTACAGGAGAGACTGTAGCACTAGACCTTGTAGGCATGCACTTTCTGTAAAGTGGTTGCGAGTTTGCCAAAAATGGTTCAAATTATTTGAAAACATCTTGGGACACGTGAAAAGCACACAGCCGTGTTAAATGAGGGCAGTGGAGAAGGAAATACCCACACAGAATTCATTATACAATGCATAGGTTTTATTTAGTGTTAACCACTACTTGAACATGACAGTTGAAGGTTGACAATGAGTCTCCACTATTGGGGTTTTAAAATCTTAAACAGTGAAAAAGAATGAAGGATGCTTCACAGAAGAATGGTTTAGTAGGAGAGAAAAGGGACCAATTAAGCCAGCTCTTCCTCGGGCTCTTCCTCAAATTCACCCTCTTCCTCGGCAGTGGCATCCTGGTACTGCTGGTACTCTGAAACCAGGTCGTTCATGTTGCTCTCAGCCTCTGTGAACTCCATCTCATCCATGCCCTCGCCGGTGTACCAGTGCAAGAAGGCCTTGCGCCTGAACATGGCGGTGAACTGCTCGGAGATGCGCTTGAACAGCTCCTGGATGGCTGTGCTGTTGCCGATGAAGGTGGCGGCCATTTTGAGGCCACGGGGCGGGATGTCGCAGACTGCGGTCTTGACGTTGTTGGGGATCCATTCCACGAAGTAGCTGCTGTTTTTGTTCTGCACGTTCAGCATCTGCTCGTCCACCTCCTTCATGGACATGCGGCCACGGAAGACTGCGGCCACCGTCAGGTAGCGGCCGTGCCGCGGGTCGCAGGCCGCCATCATGTTTTTGGCGTCGAACATCTGCTGGGTGAGTTCGGGCACAGTGAGGGCGCGGTACTGCTGGCTCCCCCTGCTGGTGAGAGGAGCAAAGCCCGGCATGAAGAAATGAAGACGGGGGAAGGGCACCATGTTGACGGCCAGCTTGCGGAGGTCGGCGTTCAGCTGCCCGGGGAAGCGCAGGCAGGTGGTGACGCCGCTCATGGTGGCCGACACCAGGTGATTGAGGTCACCATAGGTGGGCGTAGTGAGCTTGAGCGTGCGGAAGCAGATGTCGTAGAGCGCCTCGTTGTCGATGCAGTAGGTCTCGTCAGTGTTCTCCACCAGCTGGTGCACGGACAGCGTGGCGTTGTATGGCTCTACCACTGTGTCTGACACCTTGGGTGAAGGGACCACGCTGAAGGTGTTCATGATGCGGTCGGGGTACTCCTCGCGGATCTTGCTGATCAGGAGGGTGCCCATGCCCGAGCCGGTGCCCCCACCCAGGGAGTGTGTCAGCTGGAAGCCCTGCAGACAGTCACAGCTCTCTGCCTCCTTCCTCACCACGTCCAGCACCGAGTCCACCAGCTCGGCACCCTCTGTGTAGTGCCCCTTTGCCCAGTTGTTACCAGCTCCACTCTGCCCTAATGAAACATTTTAGAAAATCGAATTAATGCCCGACGGCTTGTTTAAGTGAAGTTAAGGGCAAAAGCGCTGCTCAGATGCTGAACACACCAATATACTGAAACGAAAGTGAAGACAAAGTCAACCAAATACATAACCTTTGTACTCAATTTATCGGTAAGCAATAAAATCCAAACTGTATTCCCTAAACAGACTCTCCTGTGGTTAGTACTACTTATACATACCAAAGACAAAGTTGTCTGGCCTGAAGATCTGCCCAAAAGGTCCAGACCTCACAGAATCCATGGTCCCAGGTTCTAGGTCCACCAGAACAGCACGTGGCACATACTTTCCTCCTAAAAAACAAAATCAAGTTATGCTTAGTATCATTAGTTGAAGACAACTGCCCATTCAGCAGACCCATCTCCCCCAAATGCACAGTAATGGTGTTGGCAGGCACTGCAGACATTGACGGTACCTATACCTTCTGCACATCAGCCACTGAGCACTAATGAAATTACACTTTATTGATCCCCATGGGGAAATTCTCTTTTTGCCTACTTCATCTTGCTCTCTTGTACTATCCATGTATTTTTACACGAGTTAACCTATATTGCACCATAAAACTCAGATCAATAAATCTAAGAAAATATACAAGACAAAAAAATAAACCCTCATTTCAGCTTTTACACTAGGAATATACGAGATGCAAGCGTGTCAGTACCTGTGGCTTCGTTATAATACACATTGATCCTGTCCAACTGGAGGTCACTGTCGCCATGGTAACTTCCCGTGGGGTCGATACCGTGCTCGTCACTGATAACCTCCCAAAACTGGAAAAAAACAAAAGCATGTGTCGCATTAGGACGATATTCTGGATACAAATACTACATTTCCCCCCCTTTACTAGTACGATTAATCTACATTGGGACATGGCGCCAATATGGCTACGGGGGACTCAGATCAGGCTGCATTCGAGTAGAAAGTCCCGACTTGTAAATGCGCCATTAATAAACCCGTGAGTTCACCGCCGGGTATTCTTACTGCTTATTGCTCGGATTCCTTAGCTCAAGAAAACGTGGCTTCAAATCCGTAACTTCCACATATTTGTCGGTACCGCGTTATCTTACTGGCAGTCATACAACCCCGCCTTATACAAGCAACAATTTTCAGGAACATTCTTCAAATAGTCTGAAGAGCTAGATCTGATCGAAAGCCGCATAGAAGTGTTATTTTAACCCACTTCTGCATTTGTCGTGTTTTTTTAATACACAAAAAGAAAGCGATGGGAAAGTGTGGGAGAAAGCGCGGCGTAGGGTGTTGGCTGATCTGGAAGCGGTTCACTCCAGCTGCCCTAAACCAGAACCGGCCATGTTACTTCCTGCAGCATGCGGCCAACACCCATGGCGCGGGCTACTGTAGGGCTGCCTACATAGTGCGATCGCTATGTTTTTAAACCCAGTTTTACTGATCCATTAAACTGGAGAGCTAAAAAAAATAATTTAGAGCCCAAATAAATTAATGATGATTAAAAGCAACACTGGGGGAAAAATATAAGGGCTGCATATCTCGGTTGTATTTTTTCCCCGCCATATTTTAAAACACACACGAAAAAACGTCGAAAATTAAAACGTTTCAAAGGTTTAAAAGGCTTTACATCGCGTAACCCAAGGAACCTGAAAACATCACCAAATTTAAGAAATGGCGGTCTAAAAATACACAGAACCACACAAACCTTGGCGCCAATTTGGTTTCCACACTGGCCGGCCTGCAAATGAACGATCTCCCTCATTTTCTTATTTTTAGTTTTTTGCAACGATCAAATTACGAGAAAACTGCGAGCGACTCTAGCTCTGCTGCCTGGTCTCACTACGTAATATTAAATTTCTACACAATCGCCCGGATTTATTGGTCCGCCGGCTGGCTGCACCCACCCAGCCTACGTTACGATTGGTGCTTTTCTATCAACTGCTGCTGAGTCATGTCGCGGTGCTCTGATTGGTCCGTCAGACAAGATGGAGAGACGATATTGGCCCAATAAACGCGGAGGATTAATTTCCTCCATTTTAATCTAGTAAATGGATTCGGAATCTTCCTGAACGTTTGAAAACGTAATGCGGTGAAATTTCAACCGAATAAAAGACATCGAATGACTTAACGTACAGTGTCTGTGCCAGTATGTCTACTGATAGATAGTGTAGACAAGGTAAATGGATTAAAATTACGCTAAAACTAGTGGGCAAGGTTTGAAGTTCGGTTTTCTTTTATTGTAGATATTTCAGTAGCCGTCGTACCTCAACGCCCATCCTTTTTTGAACTACGTATTTATGAAATTAATAATTTGTCTCATAGGCATGACATACACAGTAGCCATATACCATTCCTTTAACACGTCGAAAGTTCCACTTATCTAATCATTCTAAATTCTACAGGGCACTTGCAATTTTTTGCTGCCAGTAACGGGAAAATTAAAGCAGGACTCAGATTAAAACCACAACGAAGCTCTTCACTATGCGATTTCACCCAGGACTAGTACTTAAAAAGGCACATAAAAGATGTCAAAAGTCAGAATAACGTTTTATTCATCGCACTAAAGGCAGTTGTTTTTGCTGTATGTAAAGCTTTCCAACCCTCTATCCTGGACCCAGAATGCAACAACCCAGCTCCAGGGGTACCTTGGGGGAAGAAAAGAAAACTGAACGTCGAATCACCTTCTGTGGCGTGGGAGGAACAGGAGCATAATCCAATAGTAAGCCGTCTTTTGCATTCGGCAGAGTTCATTTTCATACAGTGAAAGTGATGCACAGCAGACAATTACGTCATACTGTGCACAACTGGAGCCCTGGTCAGACATGCTTGAAATTCTCATGCTAATCAAGTGGTGGGTAGATTTTTTTATGTATAGGACAATAAACAGCTTTAATACAAGGAAGTGTGAGGCACATAATTCCTGTAAATGACTTGTATTTTTAACAGCCAATCATGTCAATTTAAAATTGAAATTTTGACAAAGGAAAACTTGTTATATACACATTCAAAATAAACAAAAATTAGAACATTGGACATCAAAATTCCTATTTGTTCAAAGAGGAATGTTTTGGGTCTTAAAATGAGCACAAATAAAAATGTTTCTGGATTTATAAACTTCTCAGGAATCATACCATTAAAAGCAGACTCAATTTATTCAAATGTATCTCGACAATGAATTTTTATGAGCGCAGACCAATCGGACACCTGCTTCTAAGTTATTACATCACCTTTGGACTCAAAAAATGCATCACTGACAACAGGTATTAATATAAACTGTTACCAAAATAATCTTATTTGTGGAGAGAATCAAGGT